GAACCAAACGGTATGGCGGCGTTTTCAAAACGCCGCCCGCACTTATAAGCTGCCCCAAACAGACCTTAAGACTCGCTCTATCTTTTGAGAGCTGCCCTAAAGCTTTCTAGTTAAAGGTTTTTGATTGAGAGGCTTTAACGAATGAGAAAATCAATTTATTCAACTGCTTATTAATTTATTTTGATTTGAAAAAATAACTGTTAATAATTTTATGTAAAAAATAAAGTACTCATTCAAAATTTTATTTTATTTACTAGTTTTATATAAAAAAATCAAATGCAAATTTTTTTTAATTTAAATAAAAAATCATGCACTCATTCAAAATTTAAATTTGCTCTGTTTAAAAAGATATGTCAAATGCAAATAAAGTATGATGATGAAAATATTTGAGTATATCTCGCTGATTTTTTATCATGCATTTTGATCTATGTGAGAATTTGAAAAATGGACGAAAAAAGCTGCTAGATTTGTAAATAGCAATGTCACCAATACTTTCATAATATGTTTTTTGACATGATCGCAAAGAATTAAGAAATGGGGTATTTACATATATACCCCCAATTTCCTATGTATTTACGCATCAAATACCTAATATTTAATTTTTTTTATATTTATAATACCCATATATTTTATTTCAAATCAAAAATATTATTATTATTATAACTTTTGAAAAGTGAAACGCACATTTTTCATACATTGATAAGGTGGTATGCTGTAAAAATTGAGGTTTATGAATTAAATATGTAAATACATAAAGAATTGAGTGGTATGTATTTATATACTTCCAAAATGAAAAAATAAAATAAATTTGAAGTTCAATTGTCATTATAATGAATCGTTGTTTGAAGAAGACATTATTTCTCTTTAATTTATTTTGTATCGTTAATGTGCTTGCAAGTTGAACTTATCAAGCCATGTGTTCTAACTCGAGCAGCTCAGGTATGAGCTCGAGTCAGACCCAACTCAGCTCGAGAGCTTAACAAGATACTCGAATGTGTAAAAAAAAAAGAAATAAAACCTTCAATCCCGTACTACTCGAGCTAGCCCTCAAGATTTTTTCCTACCCTTCATGTCACTATTGACAAAACACAAATGTCACAAACTCTCAATTCTTTAATGCCCTATATAAATGCCCTGACCCGAAACATTATTCATTACAAATGTTACCAATTAAATTTTCTACCCTTCATGCCACCACAAGTTGCTTATCTTGCTTGCTAGACATATAAGACTCGGATTATTTAATGAAATATCTTTTTGCTATACTGAAAGTTAAACTCGTAAAAGTCGTACACACATTTATGTTTAATTAATCTATATTGATCGTAGTTGATGATGCTGATTTTTTGTGATGATTCATCTTATTTAATGTATATTTGTATAACAATGTGTGGATGCACGATATACATTATCCAGAAAGAAAAGAAATCACTGAAGATTTCTTGAATGGGGTCGAGACCTTCGTGGCAGCGGCATATACTCTTCTGACGTAACTATCAAGGGTAGGTTTCTGTATTCATGTTCGAAACACGAAAATATAACACATGACGCGGGATGAAGTCAAATATGATTTATATTGTCGGAAATTTAAAATTTATTATTCGATTTGGACTTCACATGATAAGGTTGACCCTACAATATGTTGCTCTGCTCATTTGAAGAGTTGTGACCCTCAACCTGAATTTCAATCAAGTCAATTTGAGGAATTGATTTTCGATGGTACAAGACATTACTATCTGAGTTTAGTGGAGGAAGAGACATCAAACGTGAAAGCTTGGGAGTTTTATGATTTACTTAGTGCGACTCAAAAGTTTTATAAGAGTATAACACGTTATATTATGAGTTATATGTAGCTCTAAATATGTTAAAAATTAAAGTTGAGTTCAATTAGGGTTTAACGTTCCAACCTGACGAGCAAAAAAATGAATAATTATGTATGAGGCATGGATCGAACCCCCTTCCCCCACGTGAAGAAAAAGAAAGTTGTTCAATTGCTTATATATATATAATGGCCATCTTTC